CCGATGCCAAATATGAGTAATTGCTATTGCTCTGCTGTAACACGCAGTGCACGGACACACACAAACTGGTTTGCACCAGTGCTTTGTCGTGTCACTAACCAATGAGGCATCAGAGGGCCACAGCACTGACCTGTATCTTGAGCATCTGTTGAACCAGCTGGGTAGGTCAGGGCGGGAGACAAACAACAAGTTTGCAGCCCGGAGAGGAAGTTGCTCCGTTGTCCTTCGAGGCTGAAGGAGAAACCAGTTGGGAATTAAGGAGAGCAGGATCAGTAACAGTCGTCCTGCCCTTGTCTGCCCTCCTGGGCCATTGTCCTCTCAGCCTATGTGGTCCTACCTTTCAGCTGGTTGACGCAGCAGGGTGTGTTTTCCGCCCGTCTCTCTGTTGTGTTATTGAGCAAGACAGGCTTGTCAGATCAGCCTGCTCTGGTGTGTTGGAAGGCCTCTGACTGACAGCTTGGCCTGACCAAGCTGTCACAGCCAAGTATCACAGACGCCCACTGTCTGTCAGAGAGAGAGATTACAAAGACAGTGACTGCTGCCTGTCTGTGTGCTGCCTGTCTGTCTGTCTGACCGTCTGTCTGCCATGATAAAACTACCATCCCTTGGTCTAATGTGACATTTGTAGTTTATAGTTCATTGCAAATTCCTAGAAATGGTCTTACTTTTTAAACAAATACAGACTGTAAGGCTCAGAAATGACAAACTGCATAAGTCAACATGGGATTGAAGGATTTATTTTTATTAAGCGTACTGGTGCAGTGATTGATGGTATGTGACAGCCAAAAATGAGTTTAAAAGTGCACAAGAATTTTCCATTTTTATCTTTCATTTATGCAAAGAAGCTCTTTGATTATGCATCTCCTAGCCAAACAAGGACTTCACTCTATAATGTTTTATCATAAGCATGACAGAATGAGTAAGTTGCACCAGTCAATTCATATTCATCACCAAGCTGAGACCCAGCAGACAGTAAGACAAGGAGAAGAGTTCCTCTGAAGTGTGTATCGGTGATTGATCTGTTTACCCTCTTGAATCACTGAGGCAGAGCGCTGCAGTGCACTCTCACTCCCACTGAGGTGTCGCCAGACACAGACAAACCTCTCTTACCTCAACGTCTCCAACTGAGTCGAGGTCCCAGTGAGCCATTCCAAACCAACCCTAGCCTGATGCTATCGTCACTTCTGCCTGCTAGGATTTTTGTTCTTATTCTGGGAAGTGGCAGGGTGACATAGAGGGAGCGGTGGATGGCGTGGGCTGTGGCCTGATCAGGGAGCCGCAAACGGACATAGCAGGGCTTTTCTCGGACTGTCGTGGCCAGGTTCTGTGAAGTGTGAGAGTTGAGGCAGGGCACTGCTGGCACGTTTGGGATTTGCAGCTATCAGCAGGAGAGATCTGCACTGCAGAGTCTGCAGGGGGAGGGTAGGAGAGCGGGAGTGGGAATGAGGCTACTCTGGAAGCAGGGAAGCATGGCCTCAGATGGAGGAAAAACTGGAAAACTGGCTAGGTAATGACCAGATAAATCTCAACACCAATTGGAGTGCTTCGACCTTACTGGGAGTAGGATGTGTGTTCAATACACCGCCTATGAGGTGCTCAGTGTACTAAAACACTAGAGGCAGACAAATGAGAATATAAGATAAAGATTGATTAACTGTGCCTTTAGTGGTTAAGAGACTGATTCATCTATAGATTTGCACACAGATGGAGAAGTACCGCCCAACACAAGTGGGTTTTTCTCCTAAAATGTTAATCAAGGGGAAAAGTATATAATGTTTAGGCAGGTAGAATATTATCCTTCATGTTGACAGATGCCTTGAGTATCATAGGAAAATCTTTTTTTTTATCACTTTCTCTCCTCTTGAGGGCACCTTTACCTGTGCAGATTGAATTCCATATGAATATTGAATATTAATATGCCTTAATTCAGCTGAGTTGTGGTTCGAGTGGGCAACAACGAGAAGCCATATACAGCTGTCAAAGGGGATCCAAAGCGGGTGCTACAAGGAAGCCAACTGTCGTCAGTGATTTCACAGATGCCTGTTTGATTAATTTAAGTATATTTGGACATTGAATGTGTTGAATCAGTGGAGATATTTTCATCTAGTTAAATTAGGAATCTTTGCTAATACAGTGATCTGCAGCTACACCGAATCTAAAGCTGGTTTAGTTTAAAAAAAGCCTGAGACCAATTATGAAATATTATAAAAAATACACTAAATCAAACCTAAGATTGTACTGCAGGCTTTTTACCGCAGTCATCTTGGCATCACGGGCTGACCTTGACAGTTGACATTTGATTATAAACTGATAAGGTTAAGAGCTTTCAGTTAATCATTCAGCAGTTACAGAAGGACTCTTTCTTGGTGTTTGAGCCATGGTAATAATGGCTTCAAATGTCATTAGCAGAGGAGCCTTTCTACCTCACTCAGCCACTCCACTGACCCAGCTCTCTTAAACTGATGAGTTCGGTGGTGCTTCATATTGTTCATCACCGGCAGTCAAGGCTGATACAGTAGCATTAGTCACCGTCAGGCTAAATGTAAAAAAAGGGCTGTTACCGTTAAATCATTGTGTCAGTGCTTCAGTGGGTAACAAATGAATATATAATGATATATTGATTTAATCATACAAGCTTTAATTAATAATTAATACAACTGTGTTTTATTTCATAAGACTTAGTACATATTATATTCTAAGTCTTATGGTAACAGCTTCTTTGAAGAGTGCGGGCAGTGTGGCAGGAATATCACTTTGCTTAATGTTGTCATGACACTTCACAAAGTGTGTTCACATGTGCCAGAGCTGGAAATGCTTAGCTGGGCTTGGGTGCCTCTCTGGGGGCTGATTGGCTTGGCCCATTGCTGCATTTGGAAGATTAAACTGTGCTGCAGTACGGAGCAGTGGCCAGGGCCACAGGATGCGGGACGGGGGCCCAGGAAGGACAAAAGCTAAGCAGCATAAACAAGAGATGACCTTCAGAACGGGACAAAGAGGCTCGGAGCTCAGAATAGAGAAACTTAACTCTCACCCTTGTGCACAAGACTTTGACAGACATCCACATGTGTCTCTTTTTTCTGGTCTTTGCTGATACATCATTTCATTGCGATAACAGACAATGATCTTGAATCATCTTTCATTGCTGCCAAATTTGCCTCGGGGATCTCAGGGCTGTCAAGTGCTTGTGCAGCATCAGGCAGCATTGTTCAGGATGTCCAAATAATGCTGCATAATTTCAGCTTAATTGCATCAGGCAATAATTTTCCCCCTGCTGTAGATAAACAAAAATAAGAATCTCTTGTGCATTCAGCAGAGAGCCGGGGGAAGCCGGGGGCATTAGCATGGGAGGCGATAGTCATCTGGGAAGTTAATCTGCGATAAGATTAGACCACCTGGCAAGGTCAGAGGCAGCTCTCCCAGAAAGAATGATTCGCCTCATTGGGTATGATAGACGCCCTCTTATTGTAAAATACATAGCAAGCCGCTTATATCAGACGGTAGGTATCCCTTTGATAACACAGATCACATTAACATTAAGGCAGACGGCGTCACCAGTAGAGGGTATATTGGCAATAAACTGACAAAGGACAATATGAGAGAGTAGAGTGTCCTGTTGATGTGGTGTAATGATAAGTCATAGTGTAACTCCAACTTAAGATAGATTCATCCTTGTCTCGCTGAGGCCTTTTTTGAAGTGTGTTCTATATTCCAGTCAGCAGTGTACAGTGCAGATGAATCGGCAAAAGGCTCCCTGCGGCACATCATTACCTCTGGAGACACCATTAGGGAGATCCCTCATTTTTAACTTGTTGGAAGGCAGGAAGTTACAGAAGATGCATGGTGCATTATACAACCATTATGAAACAGATGATCTGGGGTTGTTGCTGTGGTCATGTAGTGTTGTTTTCTGTATAGATATAGGTCCTGTTTGGCTTTAAGAGGGTCTAAAATTATTTATTTGGGCTTAAATGATGATAAAGTTGGAGTTCTTAGTATTAGTCTTACCAAAGATATGTTAATGTGTCATCAATACACAATGTCACTGAGGAGGCAGATAACCTGTCTGAATGAAGATCTGCTGCATGAATAATGTATCTATCGTTATCTGCAGGGTAAATGTCCATGTAGAGGACAATGAACAATTACATGTTGCATTAGAGCTTATTAAATTGTATACTTTGACACACAATTATTCAGCTATAACTGACTTGTTTCGAGGAGACAATAGAAAGTGTGTCCATAAGTAAGTTTAATGACTCAAGGGAACAAAACGACCTTGGTAAGTGAATCGGTTTTGGAGTGGGTGTGAGTGGGACAGAAAACAGTACGTCAACACTTTGCTTCAACTCACACACCACTGAAGTATGGTGGCTATCATTTTTTGACAGGAGCAATAGAAAAGTTAAGTGTTGCTGTGTGGGCTGTGTGCGCTTCGGCAAACACGCACACATACACACACACACGTCTTTGTAACTCGTGAGGTGGAGAAGAGGTCTTGGATTGGATATCAGATCTGCCCTCTTTTGTCCTCTGTTAGGCTGCAGCCTGTCACACTTGATCACCACATTCTTAACTCAGATGTCTGATTGATTACCTTCAAGTTCAATTAAACTGTGAAAGCAGCTATTTTTAACCAGAAAAGGATGTCAAGACATGGGTGACCTGAAGTCATTCGTGCACAGATAAAGAGTCTCCTCTAAGAGCTCTTAGTTCAGATTTACTGCAAAAGATAATCAAATTATTGATTATTTATTAAATTATGTATAATGCTAAGCTATATTCTATATCAGAACATGTAGAAATACAATAGGTGGAGAAAATGTTTTAGGTAAAATGTGCTTGAATCAGAATGGTTTAATGTGATAACTATATAATTTAAAAGAGACCAGCATTCCTTTAGTTGGAGCAATAAAAAAAACAATACAAAATTTGATCATAGAACAAATTTGCAATATTAGTGTGTTTAACAGTCAATGTAAAATGTTTGTGTCCATCTATAGGAGAAGACCGCACCAGGGAGAATGTGGTTGGCACCACAGACGCACACTCGGCTGGCGGTACAGCAGGAGCAGAGTCCGGCTCCAACAGACGGAGGCTCCACTGCTGCATCAGAGTAACAACTGTACAGGTGCGCAAGGCCTTGTGGGGGGTCGCCATGGTGATGTGCGTCTGCTCCTCCTGGGCAGGGTCCACCCAGCTGGCTAAGCTGACCTTCAAGCAGTTTGACGCCCCCTTCACCCTCACCTGGTTTGCCACCACCTGGAACTGCCTCTTCTTCCCCCTCTATTACATCGGCCACCTGTGCAAGAGTCCAGAGAGGCAGACACCCAGACAGAGATTCAGGTGAGAGGACTGTCACTGCATCACAGACGAAACAGAAGTTAGAAAGTGCGAGAGGAAGAATATGATGAAAGAGGAAGATAGAATAAATAGCGAAGACAATGTATAAAACAAGGAAAACAAGTGTATAATCTATAAAGTATGAGCAAAACAAAACGGAGAAAACAAGAAAACAACCTTGACCTTGGAACAGCTCTGAAAACCACAGGCTCCTGCATTGGGGTCAACTTAACAGTGTTTTCTTTCTACACTTACCAATGACTTCAACAATCATATAATTTCACCTCATATAAATGACAGCAATTTTCCTATCAGCAGCAGTCTCAGTGAACCAGAATGCAATGCAGTCATTAGAAAGCATTCTGTGGAAAGTTGTTTTCTCAACTGATAACATAGTCTCACTTTTCGTCTTTAAACAGTTAAATTCCTACAGCTGAAACCTTTTTTGAAAAAACTTGTGAGAAATATATGAATCATCATCATCATCGGCGGTCACTCATAGTCGAGTATGACTGTCCTCCTTCTTGGTCCTTGTGGGTCTTCAGATGGGCGTAGAGGCCGATCCTGGACCCGATTATTCTTGTGCAGTGTGGGCAGGTGAAAGTGTTGGTGGGTTTGGGCTGGGCCTGTTTGGTGGATGCTCTCTCCTTTCTGAGTCTGCGTTTGTGTTCTGCAGCGTGGTGGAGCTCTTCATTATATAGTGCAGCATCTCATGGACAAGGTTTCTCCATATCGCCCTATTTTTTGTCATGTCCTCCCAAGTCTTAAGGTCTATGTGGAACTTTTTGATGTTTGTTTTGATGTTGTCCTTATACCTCTTCTTTTGGCCTCCTGGGGCAAGTTTTCCTTCAGCAAGCTGGGAGTAGAGGACTTGTTTTGGAAGGCGAAAGTCAGGCATACAGACAACGTGAAAGGTCTATCTGAGCTGCTGTTGAGCGATGGTGGCAGTGATGGTGGGGATGCCAGCCTCCTCCAGGACGCTGGTGTTGGTGCGTCTATCCTCTCAGAGAGGCATCTCTGGTGATAGGCCTCTAGTGCCTTTGAGTGTCTACTATAATGTGGTCCAGGCCTCTGATCCATACAGTAGAGTGGGTAGCATTATGGCTTTGTAGGCCAGGATTTTGGTCTTTGCCAGAGGGTTGCGGTTCTCAAAAACCCTTTTCCTTAGCCTTGAAAAAGCCCCACTGGCACAGCTGAGGCGGTGGTGTATTTCATCTTCAATGTTGGCTTTTGATGATGCTGCCCAGATATTGGAAGTGATCCACATTTTCCAATTTGATGTTGTCAGTTGAGATGTTTGGGGGCGGGACAGGAGTACTATTTGGTGGTGACTGATAGAGGATATGAGTCTTTTTTAAGTTGATGGCTAGACCAAGCTGTTTGTATGCTTTTGTGAAGACAACCAGAATGCACTGTAGGTCCTCTTCTGAGAGGGCTACGAGGGCGTTGTCGTCCGCATACTGCAGCTGCCACGGGAGTTCCCGCAGTCTGCCTTGTCTCCTTTCTTAAAGATGGAGACAACCAGGGCTTCCTTAACTTTTGCAGGGATTTTCTCTTGTTCCCATATTTTGAGAATCAGGGCATGGATGTGTTTAAGGAGATCTTCCTTTAGGACTTCAGCTGGAATGCCGTCTGGACCAGCGGCCTTGTTGTTCTTCATCTTCCTTATAGCATCCTACACCTCTTCCAGGCTGGGTGGTTCCCCCATGCTCTAACTTATAGGCTGTTGAGGGAGTTTTTCGAGGGCCTCCATCTCAGGAGTGGTGTCCCTGTTCAGAAGATCCTCGTAATGTTCTTTCCACATGTTTGCTATTGCTTCCTTATCTTTCAGCGAAGTGGGGTTAGGCAACGGTAGCTGGGGCCATATATCACTCTTGTGGCATCAAAGAACCCTCTGGTATCTCCAGCAAGCTGCTGGATCTCCAGAGCCTTCTTTGTCCACCACTGGTTCTTCAATATATATAAATATTGATATAAAATATATGAATGCAGTGTTTCCCAACCTAGGAGAAGAAGGGTCACAAGACAAACCCGGGTGGTCATCAGATAACAAACAGAACAAAAGCCACCAGGAGAGAAAACATTCCTTCTACACAAAATGTTGTTTTTTCCAGACTTTTCTTACATATTATAATAGTATGAATTGAAGATCAACATCAGAATAAATCCAATAAAGAAATCAGTTTACCCACAAAACAACATTAAACATCAAAGATATATGATATGTAGCAGTGTACCAGTGTGCCAATATAGTGGCCAATAGTTAATACAATTTCTTATCAAGACCACACCTCATGTTTAATCTGTTTGGCCAGTTGCTTACGATTAGAATAACAGCACTCTCATAATTTGGGCGTATTGATAATCTCGCTGAAGGAGCTAGAGTTGTTTACCTTCTATTTTTGCTGGTTAGTTATGCACAGTCACTCTCTGTTCATATTTGATTTCCAAAAATAGCCCACCACTTAATTTGGAATATCAGGTTTCCTTGCCATCTTTAGTTTAGCTGCTGCAGCAAACAGAAAGAATGCAGTCCTAAATGCGTTAGAAGTGCTTTCACACTTGAAACAGTCCATTAATCCTGGTCTGTAGTCAAAAGTCTTATCTCTGCTACATGCTGTGCTACTTTTGTATAGAGAGACAAAGAGTGGGGTGGTTGGAAAGTGTGGTGTGTAGGTGAGCGGGGGGTGGGGGGTGGGGGGGTTGACTCTGTATTTCTGCTGCACCTCTGTGATGTAATTCTTCCTTTTTGAGGGCTTACACGAGGATCTGGGGCTGCCACTCCTCCGCCCGGTGCTAACGTGCTTCGAATATCAAACACTCTGTTTTCCTTTATGTTCATTCAAATTGCACCTGCTGGTGAATCTCAGATGATGCGGAGAAATAGAGGCAGAGAGTTGACATTTGTAATGGCTGTCCTGTCTCTTTATATAAAGTGGTGGCCAAAGAAGAGGCAAAGACCTGACAGTGGTAATAGCTGGCTTACCTCCTCATAGATATAAGTGGAAAGGATTTACAGTGTAAGAGGGAGATGCTATTTATTATGCTGTATCTGTTCCTCACCTTCCCTACTGTACTGAGATTTACCTGATACCTGTTCATGTTCTGACTTCAATATAAGGAGTCCATGGTTCTCTTTAATGTATTTCGAGAAGGTTTGCCTGTTCTTGGTTATTACGAAACTCTTTTAAAAGTCCCTTGAATTAAATTTAAAATGCAGTAATCAAGGTGAAAGTAAGGATGGTTCCTGAAATGTTTGCATGTTATAGTTTGTACAGCAGCAATACTAAAATGACAATTATTGTTATATATTAGGTAAAAGAAAATATAAAAATATGAACTCAATGTCCACTTATTAGCTTTTTTCTTTAATTCTTTATCTTGCAGGCTTGGAGATTGCTCAAGTAAATTACTGAGTTGCAAACCGTTGAGGAAGACCACCAGATGTGATTAAAAGCTTAGAAAAAAATCTAATAAGTAGGCATTGAGGCTCTGTCTTTGTCAAACTTAATTTTACATCATCATCATCATCATCATCATCATCATCATTTATTGCTGATTTTTATTTGCTCAGTACCAAGGGAACCAAATAAAAAAATAAAATAAAATGTCCAGGCTCTTTGAAATGACCGACTTGCTAATCTTAAATACATTGATTTGAAAAGCATTGCCTTTAAAGTGTAACTGTTGACTTCATGAGCTGCTAGACACTTTAAAATCTTCTTCCATAACACATTTAAACCTTATAAACTTTGTGCAGATTACAGCTCTCACAAGTGCAGAACAGCAAAGGAGAAACAGACAAAACTTGGATTTGAAGGTGGTGTATCCACTGTATTGAAATGATGACAGACTTTAATGTGATTGTCACTGAATTGGTGTTGTGTTTATAAAGTGGGTGTGAGCAGTGTGTTTTTAGTGCAAACTCAGCTCTCTGGAGCTGATTCATAATAACAGTGCTGCTCCTCAGTATCCGGCAGGACAAATGTGCTACCTGCCACTCCTCATTTATTGCTGCTTCATCACTTTCACAGGGCCAGATGCTTTCGGGGTAAACTGTGTAACTCAAGAACACTGTAAACAGTATAGCAGTCAAAATGCCAGTGTCTCAAAAATGCAGTAATGTTATATTTTTGACTCTGGGGAGTTGTGTAGTTGGGAGTAGAATCAGTATTTTCTGGCACCACAGCAGAGTGATGCAACGTCATGTCTTATTGAGTAGTATGTTTCAAAACATAGTAACAGAGGGGACAGGATCACAATTACGTATTTTGATACTGATACATAATGTTGTGAGTTTGGTTCCTCTTTCACACAGTATGATGCATTGACTGGGGCTCAGGCCAATAGCTTTAGATTTTCATCAATGTCGAATATTTGAAACTCTTTTCAAGCCCAGACTTAAGCCAGAATTTAGTGAAGATTAAAAGTGTCTATAATATATGACAAAGCATTCTAAGTGGCCAGGAATAAAGTCCTTGAAGTTGATTAACAAAATGTCAAAATATTTCAGTTTTGCTTCCAAAGTACGTCCAGTAACACTGAGCTGACTATTATTCCTGTGCCACAGATATTCAACATATGCAGAAGCACCAGGGACAGTAATTTATGTATGTCCCTACTGTATTTATAAAATATTGACATGTTGGAGCCTCCATTCCCAGGAACTGAACCTTGAGAGTCTCATAAAGAATAGAGGAGAAAGACAAAAAAAGTCTAATGAAAACACTTTTTTCATTAGACTTCACAAACTTCTGCCTCTTGTCAAAATAAAGACTATAATATCTCAAATATTTTTCAAATTGTTTAATATATTGTCTCAATTTCATTTCTTCTATGATGTGTCTCTGGACCTTAACCAGAAATTGGCAAAGACACCTGAGGGGGAAATAAATAGTTTAGTTTCAGCAATGGAGACAGCTTAACTTAAGCTCAGAAATATTTAAGGCCTCGTGGTAGATCTGATTGTATTCATAAATATTCACATGTTTCTCCATTAGAGTAGAGTTGGTCCCACATGCACTGCAATGCAATGTTCATCTAGATGTAACTGGTAAAATGGGAATCACTTTACACACTCTGTGCTATGTCATGGTCTCCCTGGTATATTTGTTCAGAAAACTGTTCATAAATACTATTAATAATATTTATCAACTCTTAAATTAGTTATACCACATTTTGAAATGTTCTAACACCGTGCTCTGCATTGTGTCTCTGCAGGGAGTGTTGTAGGTTTTTCGGGGATGACGGGCTAACACCCAAGGTGTTTTTCACCAAGGTGGCTCCCTTTGGCCTGCTGTGGATCCTCACCAACTACCTGTACCTGCAGGCCCTCAGGAAGATCAACACAACAGACGTGTCAGCGCTCTTCTGTTGTAACAAGGCCTTCGTCTTCCTGCTGTCTTGGATTGTACTCAGAGACCGCTTCATGGGGGTCAGGGTGAGTACATCTGTCCCATCCTGTAAATCATCTTACTGCCCCTCATGTTTATCTTGTGAGCCCTTGGACGAGTAACGACCTCACGGTTGGGTGCCATTGATAAGGACCAGAATGTTTGCTGTGCTAAATATCTATTTAAAAATCTATTTCTGTTTGCATTATCTCTGATAAGACGATATTGTCTAATAATATTGCCTCATTCTATATGTCATTCTATGTTTAAAAACACAGCGCTGTTGCAAAGGCTCGCTAACAGAGAGATACAAAGATGACCTTCACTTGCCCTTAGGCTTTTTATTATGTCTGTCTTTGCTTTGATGGAGAGAAAGAAGCCCACTGTGTCCTCTAACTGTCCTTAGTGTATCTTATCACCTCTGCATAAGTTAACACATAATGACAAAATAAGTCTGTGTTTGTTCCCAAAGGACTGAAAATAATGTTGAATGTGTTAGCTACGCACACAGCACGGTCGAGTAGTGAGCATGTTACCTTTGTGACAGTGTGATTTCCCACCAGTGATCACCTTGTCATTCAAATGTGCCTCCTGGTGTATGTCTGATATGTGTGCGCTAGAATGTTTGTCACTGATTTTGTCCGCGTGAGGAGAGACAAGCAGAAGAACACGGGGTTCTCCTGCTCTCCTCCCAATGTACATCCTCAGATGCTTTCAGATCAGCAGACGTCCTGCACTCTGCAGAATGGATTTCCCCCTTTTTCTCCTCTCACACACTCACAACCACCACTCCCTCGTGCATGCCCCTGCTCCCCACCCCCATTATCTGCGATGAAAGGCCTCAGTAAAAGAGAAATACTGTAATAATCCTGCTTCTCGCTCTCTCTCCCTCCCTCTCTCTCCCTCCCTCTCTCTCTCTCTCTCTCTCTCTCTCTCTCTCTTTCTCTCTCCCCCCCTCTCTCTCGCTTGGTGGTGGGGATTGCAGTGTCTGCAGCAATGCAGGGGATCTTGGACGGGTTTGTCATGAAAGTGAATGAAGGGAGAGAGAGAGAGACGGAGGATGCTAAATCATCCTTGTTAAACAGGGATGTGGGTTGTTTTGGTGATATTGTGTACATAAAAAGATGGCTGTGCTTTATTGTCTCAGTTTGGTGAGAATGGGCCAGACCACTGGTTAGAAGCTTATGAATTAAATTTGAAGAGCCTTTTGGTTGATGTGCGATTTGTGTTTGGATTTATCAGTTGTAAAGGTAGTAAATCCATATCCCCATACTGCGGTAATAACGCTGTAATCACATAACCTTTCCCCCCTCTGACCATCACATTGTGCTGAAACACCTCAAGAAACTGAAACACCAACACACGCAGGGTCGCTGACCTTCTAAGCAAACAGTCTGTCACGAGAAATGAAAGGTGCATCTGTGACTGACAGGCAGCCTGCAGTGCAGAAAGAACCATTTTGCCAAAGGTGCCCAAGGGCTTTGGCCAAGCAAAAACACACGGCTCATTTATCTTCCTGACACCTCCTTAATGCAGAGCTAATCCACTCAGCTGGACTGCGCCCTGTCCCTATCACTATTCTTCAGCCCAAAGCACTTGCACGCACAGTTATGGCCACATGCAGCAAAGACAAGTGCTGTAAATGCTGTAAATAAAGCTTAGGTGACAGCTTTGGGTTCCTATTCTTGACGGCAAAGTTGCGAGGGTGATGAAACAGATGGTTTGGACCCGTTTTTGAAGCTGTGACAATCACAGATGCATGGAGTGGGAGTGGGTGTGCGGGTTGGTGGAACAAGGGGGGGGGAATGGTGTTTGGTTTGTAAACATACAGTGTAATGAAAATCAATGTCAGACAATCAAGCCAACACTGTAGAAGCTGCCTGTCCTATGTTGGAAGCACTTGCGCTGTGAAACTGAGAACAGATTTTGTTTGTGTATGTGTATGTATACGTGCATGGAAATGTAGATACCAAATGAGCAGTATGCTGACAATAAAATAAAACCCACTTATTAATTATACCATTACAAGCCTTGTCCTGTGAGGCTTGTGATTTCTGCAGTGAATAACTAAGTGGAGGCCATGTGTGCCTGCTGTGTCCCTGCACAGCAGTGTAGGCTTGTGCGTCTTTATCACCACACTGCGAGCGGCTTGTCGTCCATCCGTCACTCCCTGATTCCTTTTTCTCTCTCTACAGATCGTAGCTGCTATCTTGGCCATAGCAGGCATTGTAATGATGACCTACGCTGATGGATTCCACAGCCACTCAGTCATCGGCATTACGTTTGTGGTAGCCTCTGCTTCAATGTCAGCGCTCTACAAGGTATCTGTTTGCATTCGATCACTTGTAAAGAAGAGAGATTTTTACTCCCATAAACCTCCCCTGTCGTGACATCTCAATTTGCAGCAGAAGAACAAATGTAAAAATAGCTAAACATATGTATGAATAGTCTTGTCTTATATAACAAATCCTGGACTAGCTCCCTTCCAATTATGTAACCAGGTGGCAGAAGACAGGAGGAGATTATAAAACGTGAGACTCAGCTGACAAGAAGCGTGTGATATGTGAGTGTTTGGTTGCTGGCCCCAGGCTGTGATGTCCTGATCAAGGAGGTTATGGGATAGATAGCTATATTTTGACGGTGCTCTGGTCTCCTCTGCCCTGCTGTCTGTGCTGCCTAATGTGATAAACAGACAGCCTGTGCCAGAGACATGACAGGTGCTTGGCGAGTGCGCCCTCTGCAATATCCCCTTTCTCCTTAAGGGGGCAGATTTTGTGAATTCCCTCCTCCCTGTTTATCCTCAGGTGCTCTTCAAGATGGTCCTGGGCAGTGCCAAATTTGGAGAGGCTGCACTCTTTCTGAGCATCGTTGGAAGCGCCAACTTTGTTTTCATCAGCTTCGTGCCGGTCATCCTGTATTTTACACACGTGGAGTACATTGGCTCACCTAGTGACATCCCCTGGGCCTACCTCTGTGGGGTTGCAGGCCTGCTTTTTGGTATGGAAAAATGACATATGAAGTAATATTGTGCATTAAACACAACACTGTAATGATTATGTAAGCTATGAGTATCATTTTGCATGTTTTGTGGTTTGACACCCTCATTGTGTAATCTGCTGCTGCTCTGATTTTGCTTCTTTCCACAGCTTTCAACGTCCTGGTGAACTTTGGCATTGCGATAACATACCCAACACTAATATCCCTTGGCATCGTTCTAAGTGTTCCTGTAAATGCCAGTAAGTCTCTTGGCTTCCCTCCCAGACCTAACTTTTTAACTAACTTTTTTTGGGTCGCAATTTAATATTTGATGCCATTGAAATCACCCCAAAACTTTGCACGTATATTTGAAGAATTTAAATTTCAAGTTTAGTTTCTTTCATTCTGTAGAATTTGTGAATTTATGTGACAAATAAACGTAACATTAATTTATTGTACTTCATATGCTCATACTAATGCACCCTCGTAATTTTACAGTGGTGGATCTCTACACTTGTGAAATTCATTTCAACACAGTGCGCCTCATTGCTGTGTTCATCATCTGCCTGGGTTTCCTCATGCTGCTGTTACCAGAAGACTGGGACCAGTGCATCATCCAGCTCAGCACAAAGCTGCGCAAACGCGACGAGCCAGCAGAGGGCAGCGGGGAGGCAGGCGCCACCACAGGGCTCAACTGGAGAGGGAGATCCAGGACCTCCATGTCAACCTTTGCACACTGACTCCATGAAATATCACCATGCAAACACACACAGACACAAAGAGGGAGACACATTAAGACCTACTATTGTTGATTTTGGGACATGTGACCTGCCCTCTCTTTCATGCAGCTTCAGGAGTGAAGAAAGTATTTCAGACTTTCCTCCGATCAGTAACATTTGATGGGGGAGATGCACGAGGCACCGACTGTGTCTCATTCATTTGGCATCCATTCCACTCAGATGTTATTCGAGTTGGTGCACGAACTAATCAGTTTTAATCCTTCTTACCCCAAAAAATGATCAGGTATAACTGATGTATTAATTTTTGCTGTACCTCTTAATCATTCCATTCACTACATCCTTGCACCTGGGAAGACTTGCCAACTTGCCTGATATTTTTCAGCTCTGAGGAAAAAGACAGACACTCTTTCGAGGCAGGCCTAACACCTTGTGGACTTCCTGTCTTTAACATGTACACATGTACACACCTTTAAGATCCAAAGAAGAATGCCTAAAATGCTGAATGCCTGAAAACAATAGGGAACCCCCCCCCCCCCCCTCCCGGGTGTCCCTGAGGTGTACACTCAATGACAAATACCTGCCTTTCATGCACTGTACATAGCTGTGTTTCACACCTTGGATGTCCTGGAGCTGTGGACCCAGTGGGCTCATCTGGTGTGAGGAGATCTGTCTGGACATCTGAGGATCAATCTGAGCTGAACAAGCTTTCACAACAGCCTCACACTGTTCATCCTGAGGGAAGAGGTCAGCTCCTTTTCTTGACGATTGGCCCCCTGTGGTTATGTGCTCTCCTGGAGCTAAACCCACTCTGTCAATGCTGACACCCATTGCTCAGGCCCACAGTTTAATCACGAGAGATCTATCTCTGTTGCTTTCAATGCATGAGATGGTTGCGATTTGTTGTTTGTGTGAGTGCTTTCAGTCCATCCATAAAGAACTTGCCTCACATCTTCTATTGCCTAGCAGCAAACGGTATAGTAAACGTTTTTAATAACTAAGCAATACAGGTAATACAGTACTAAATGTGTCTATCAACTGTTCAAACTAAACTAACTCATTACGTAGCCTACTTTAACAATCAATGCTTCAGGTATCCCAATCTTTGGATGGACTAAAAGCACTAACAGCTTATAATAAGACAAACAGGCTTTATGAAAACTTGGAACTACCCCTTTAATAACTTTCAACATCATCCATAGCTATCACCGAGCCTCCCTCTGAATTCCAATCACACATACCTTTTTAGACTCGTATGCACACAAACTAATCTGCGACAATTATCAATTAAATTAAAAAAAAAACAGACAGTAGACGGAAACTGTCTCACTGCAGCGTGAGGAAAGGTGTGTTGACACATGAGAATGGCTCCCATTTGTCCACCTCCGCTCTTTGTCAAAAAAAAAAAAAGTTCTTACTGCGTCTGTTTTCATGAATCACATTTCTGAGGCAAGTTAACAACCCAACCGAGATGAACCTGAGAGCAAATAAGATGCGCGTCTCGTAAAGCGACTGGTGGAAACTCTGCCTTGCTGTGAATGTATGAACATCACTCGACCACACATGCTCGCTACGTGCTATCTGTTTTTTACAGTGCCATCACAGACTGCTGCAGAGAGACTCTTTAATACTATCCTTCTTGTACTCATCTGAGTTGCATTTTTTGGAGCTAACTCTTGACGCAGCGTACAGGACTTTTTATATTTTTTGCATTTGGTTGCTTACTAACCTTGAGTGGACAGTGAGCGACATCTGCAGGACGAGCATGCACATACTGTATGAGCAGATACAGCTGACAAGTCCACTTCACTGCCTTTTCTTTGTTTTGCAATAGAGTACAATAGCACTGTTTCCCATTGTCATTCTCTATGACAATAAATAATAATATTGTATTCCTCTGGAATTATTGCTAGACATAAATGTAAACCTTTGTAAGGAATGATGATTTTTACACTGAGATGCAACATATGATTATCACATTTGAGGAAGAAATATTTAGAGTGTGATTAAATGAAGGGTTTATTAGATCTATTGTTGGGTGTCTTCAAGTGTAATCACATGTACTATATAAAAGATTTCTTTTCAATACATTTCTTTGTCCAGGTTTGTTTTTTTCCTCAGTGTTGTTGTTCTGTGCTTCACAATAACTGAACACGGAAAATGGCCACAGGCAACATGACAAAAAGGAAAACAATTTGGTGATCTCCGGCTCAGCAAGAGATGAAACAATTAGTCAACTAATCCATCAATATAAAATTAATCTGCAGTTATTTTGATAATCTTTTAATCGTTTTAGTCAAATTTCAAGTAAAAATGTAAACATTTTGTGGTCACACATGTGAGGATTTGCATCTTTTTTTGATCTCATATGACATGGACAACACAATTTATCATTTAAGTCATTTCTATTGTGGAAAAAGGTCTTCTATGATATATGAAGTAAATATATTTGGCAAAACAAATACAATGAATATGCCAACTCTGGCATTGGAATCAACAGATTATTCGATAATCAACATAATTGTTAGTTGTAGTCCTTCTCTGAATACCACAGATGATAACGTTTCTGCAACAGCATCTGCAGAAAGTTAACAAACATCATGCTCTACTCTCACTGTTATCTGACCGTAGAAGAAAGTGGCCTGGCGCTCCTTGGTCAGAGCAGAGAACGGTAGTCTGCTGCCCTCTTGTGGGCGAGAGGGGACATGCAGGCAGTCCACCCTCCTATCCCCAACAGCAGCATCTTGCCACACAGAGGAGGACGGGGAGGTATTTTCATGGTGACACACTTTGCATAGATTCTCTGAATTGTGTTTGAAGTCAGTGCTAACAGTAAAAATGTTACACTTGGCGTCATCACAGGTTGAAGTCTCAGAGCTGGAAGGCGGACCAGGATGAGTGGTGGTCAGAGTGCAGGGGTCGCTGCTCCTGCCATCGTCGCCCCCTGCTCTGACCTCCCCTCCCCTGCCCACCACACTCCCCAGGCGCGCTCTTATTTTTTGCCTCAGTCCCTGTAGAGCGTGCTGGAAACGCTTGCTAAGCAGAGCGTACAGTAGTGGATTGATGTCAGAGTTCAACAACACCAGCCAATATGAAAAGGTAACAGCAGAGGGTGGGACGAGGCTGGATTGGCCTGAGATTGCAGTTTCTGTGGCCTGAACCAGGGCCACACCTATGTAAGGTGTCCAGCAGAGGAAGAAGGCTGAGATAACCAGGAAGAGACGCACCACTCCATGGTGGTTGAGGTGCTGCTGGGAGTTCTGCATGGGTGGCTGGGAGGCACTCTGAGCCAGGAAGGAGACAAAACGTCTGGATGATGAGTTATTCTGCTCTGTGGTTGAATCAGGGAGAGCAGGGCTGATATAACTCCCCTCTTCTCTACTGACCTCAGACACAAACTGTCCACTTACATGATATATCAGTCTCGAGGGGCCATGGAGGCTCTCATAGTGCTGGTGAGATGAATCACCGGGAGTGAAGGCAGAGCTTGAATTCCTGCTGCGCTGGACAGAGTCCTCCAATGTATGAATCCTCCTGGCATGGCTGCGGGCCACCTTGACGATGTTCACGTAGCAGAAGAGGATGACCACTGCCGGTATGAGGTAGGAGAGGGCAGCCATGAACGCTGTGTAGCTGGGACTGCTGGCCCAGTTGACTGCACAGCTGTACATGGGACCAACATAGCTGACTGAGCTCCAGCCCAGCAGGGGAGGGCAACTGGTGGCCAGAGCCTGCAGCCAGATCCACAGGACCACAGCACAGGTCCTCCACAGGGTACAGCGGGCGCTGTAACGCAGGCAGTCAATGATGGAGTGGTAGCGGTCGAGAGCAATAGCAGCTAATGTCAGCACAGAAGCTGTACAGTACACAGAGGAGGTGTAACCCACGTACAGACAGAGGTCCTGTCAGACAGGAGAGACACAGAATGTCATCACATGCACACTTAATTAAAGAAAAATAGGTGTTGTGACATAAGAGGTCAGCTTCAGTTCATCTCAGACACTCATGCTGTGATTGTTTATAGTAGTGGTTAGAGGTGACGTACAGTGCAATCGACCCATCCACGGTTCATGATGGATAAAGCAACAAAGGGCATCACTCCAACGCCCACCAGGAGGTCACTGACGGCCAGGTTCATGATCAGCACTGACGTCACCGAGTGGAAAGTCTTGTTGGCAGCCACAATAACAATGACAAGAATATTACCTACACAGAAATACACACAATGACACAGAGGTCAGACTGACCACAACCTTTCCACCAGGAACCCAGCAATAGAAACAATCCACCTAGCAATAAACCTGTGACTTAGTAATGGTATTCAGAAAATTGTGGACAGTCTGAATTTAAGCTAAATAGTTCTGAATAGAAAAGAAACAAGCATTTAAGATGCTTTGACATGTTGATGTTGTACTATACAGTCAGGCAAATAGGTTTTATTAAATAAATCTAACTGTAAAGACTCAGTTTATCCAAGATACAATGCAGATACTTTTGGATTTATTTGTTATTGAAATCTGATATTTCTGCCACCACCAAAACACAATAGAGGTGAAGTTGTTCGCAAAGCATTGAAAAATAAATTCAACAGCTGTCCCCCATTATTTATTCAGCCTGGTGTTTTTTCTAATAATTAATAAAGGTTAATCGATCTAACTTTTTTAACGAGCCTTCAGTTTGGCAGACACAAATCTTAACAAAGTCGATAATGAAAGGTCATGAGTTTCTGACTCCCAGACCCATCAAGTCTGCAGTCATAAATGTTAGTAAGTTATTAATAAAGTGAAATGGGTCTAACTTTTAAATTTAAAAAAATGTAGTTTCAAATAATGAATAAGCCTTTAATAAAAAAACTATAATAATTAATGACTGCTCTGTTCAGAATTAGTAATTTATTAACAACGATTAAAACCATTCATTTGTGCAACCATAAAGGAATACGTTATTACTACTGTATGTTAATCATATGTGTGTGATATCACTGAGGAGCTCAAACAAGGAAATATAATGAATCATTTACGTGTTTTTAATTAACAGTGTGGTTATAAGCTTCTTATCAAATCATTTCAGAGTGACATTGTGTTTAAATTAGTATAAGATTTTAGGAATTAGCATGTTAGAAATTTTTCTTGATACTTTAAAACATATAAAGGTAATAGTGTACCTGTCACAGCGCCCAAACACATCAGCACCATGAGGATCTCCAGGACCAGCTGGGCCTGCCCGGACAGACCGAGCCCCGCGCCCTCCGTCCGGCTCGCGTTGGCCGGTGCTGCCGCCTGCAGAGACGACCAGGAGCCCCCTAGGTCATCCATGTCCCACTCAAAAAACCCTCACATCATGAGCCACGTACACGCGTGACTGGAGTGGAAAAAGAAATGATGAGATGTACTTCATCTGCTCCCCCTCTGTCTCCAGGTGAACCGACTGCTTTACTCTTTTAAAGGGAGGGAGGAGGACGGATGAACACCAACTGTACCTGACTTAACCCCTTCACTACTTCGTGTGTTGATGTAATGTCAAACCACAATACATAAAAAGAAACACATGCAAGAACTGGATAATAATGTCAAAGTTTTATTTATTCAAGTGTAACAAAAAAAAAGTTTAAAATCCACAAACTGCAATAAAAACATTGGAAACCCAGAAAATGATGCTTATCAATCTGTGTTTATATATTATTATGTACTTGTGTCCTGGGTATGGACATTATAGTCCAGTCCTGGAGCTCTCAGGCAAAAACTAATTGCTCACATAAACAAGACACTTCCACCTCAAAGGGGAACATTTCCATTTATGCTTCTGATATTGCCTCCATTAATAACAGCATGCTCACTGGAATATTGAGATTTAATAACCACAGCCGATCTCTATTCATGACTCTCATTAAGGCACAAGAACAGCACTGATGGTGATAGGACACAGACAGAATATGAAAATCCTTCAAGGTCCAGGCGTTAACTGTATGGAGCATCTTCGTGTATAGTCGCTGTCCATGAGGCCGCGCTGCTGGTTTCTTCTTCAGCTGTGTTTTGAGTTGACTTCAGTTGAGCCAGAGGTGAGATGTTGCCGTGTGTATTCCCAGATCAGCAGGGCAGCGCTCACGTGCACGTTGAGTGACCGGATGACCCCTTGTTGAGGGATCTCCACACACACATCAAGCATTTGGAGCAAATTGGCAGGAATACCTTCTCGTTCATTGCTATAAGAAGGAGGAAAGAGAGAGAAATATACTGTAGAGTGAGCCAAAGTAACTACAATTTAGCATCAAGTATAATTTAATGTCTGGAATACTGTTTTTTTTAAAGGTTTAAGTCATGTAATGAAGCCACTGAGTTGACTAGTGCTAAAATTCAGTATTTGTAAAGGAATAATAGGCTCATTGGCTTTCTTGCTGATATTTAAATGAGAAGCTTGATAACACCGTCATGTAGCCTGCAATAAATGTAGAGCTACAGCCAGCAGCTGGTAAGCTTGGCTTAGCTTAGCAGTAAAACCTTTGTTTTTACACTTCGGTGTTTGTACGGATTAAATAAATAAGATATAACGTGTTAATTAGAGATCCTTAGAGGTGCTGATAGGCGTACTTTGGACAGAGCTAGCCGTTTCCATCTATTTCCAGCCTTTATGCTAAGCTAAGATAACTGGCCGCTGGCTCTAGCTCTACAGTATATACACCACAATCAACTGGATCTTTTTTTAATTTCGGCTTTCATTTGGCTTAATGATGCACCCACATGATTTAATTTGAGAATCCTTAACATGAGCGGCCAAGTTAATCCTTTATTTTCTAAAGTCCTTAGAATTATGAGAAATAAGCTTTTTACACAGATGACTCGTGAGTTAAAGCCCAAGAGTAATTCAAACTGTAATCAACTGAGTATATACTGAGATCCAGCAATATGAGCCATGCAAAGCAAACATAAAGAGATAATGAGTTTGGCATTCAGTGAGTCCACAGAGGGCGCCTCACAGTAAGAAAGTGGGATTTGATCAGCTACACTTCCATCCTGAGTGCAACTGGGTGAGATAATAGCGACCTGATGAGCGATTTGAGCCAGGCCGTGCTGTGCTGGGGAGAGTACAGCTGTGAAAGCACTCAAGATTCAGCTCTCACTCTCTCACACCCACACCCACACACACACCCACACCCACACACACACACACACACACCCACACACACACACACACACACACACACACACACACACACACACACACAGAGAGGGTGTTAAAGTTAACAGCGTTGCTCAGACCTCTGTGACTGAACAGGGTAAAACAAAACAGGACACCTACACAGACGTGATAAATATTAATCTCCCTCTCTGCCAGGTCGGCTGCACAACTGCAGTGCGCATTCAGCGAGGAAAGTGATTCATACAACTACTGACGCACAAAAAGCATATAATGACTAGCTACTAATGGTTTAATAAAATTATTTTTGTGTCACAGCTCACAGGAGCCACAGGGCCACATCATGACTAAAACTACACTAGACAGTGCTTATGTTTTTCCTGCTGTTGTCATCACACTGTGCATATTGGCTTGTGTAATTTATTTCCTGTGGGCGCCTCCTCAGGGAGAGCCAATTACAACCCAGCATGCCCCGACAGGTAATGTTACACCATGGAGAGGAGAGGCGCAGGCCCCATAGGGAAACACACTAAACCGGTAAAATAACATTAAACAGCCTCGTCAGCTCACACCTTTTTCTATGTGAGTCACGAGGGAAAACAGAAGTTATCACATTGATGGAAAAAAGGGACTTGGAGCCTTTTTTGGGTTTTGATTTAACCTGACTGTAAATACAATGCATTTGATGCTGTCATACCCCAGAAGGAGAAGGCTCTTCTCAGGGAACTTGTAGTCCTTGAGGCTCTGACTGTTGGCCGTTTGCTCCACTCCAACAATGCAGTAGCCTTCACTCTTCTTTAGCTGCAGGAAGTCAGTGAGCTCCATTGGCTTCACCTGATGGACAGTTTATAATCTTAGAGATGATGTAAATGTACTTTTCATTTCAAACAATCATTAAAACATACATTCAAAAGGGTGGACAGTAAGAACCTCTTCACACAGGAGAATATTATGGTATGCCGTAATGCTTCCTATGTGGAAATCTGCTACATGCTGTCACATTGTAATATAATCAAAAGCAGAAATGTTTTTTCTGCTCCATATAGTGTGATACCAGGTATCAGCAGGTTTGAAAGAGCAAAAATGATATTCTTCCAACTTTCCTGTAATTTTTTCCTTAAAGTTTAAAGATTTAGATTCATCTTTGAACCTTGGGTTTTGGTTAAAAGGTGGAGGGAAAAACATGGAGTGAAACAATGCTATCGTGCTGACCTTTATTTCACGAAAATGCAACTTGAATTTTTTTTTATTAGTTGATTCTCCTATCATTGTTAATGTTTGACAAAAAAATGTGTGGGATGATGGAGCTTCCAAAGTGGGGCACGCCAGAAAAAGTTTGAGAATCACTGCTTTAGAAAAAGTGAATTCAGTTAGTTACTAAAAAACATGACTTTGCCCATTGGGAAAAGCTCCTGATCACTGGAGTGAAATCAGGTTTTTCTTACCTCTAACAGAGGAAGCCACAGCTCAGACGAGACACTCAAGGACTGAAAGTGTTTGTCACTGACATGGCGGAGGCTGTCCAGAACCAGAGCGCTGGCACCAAAGATCTCACAGGTCCTGCACAGACCTAGAACAACAACAACAAACAAATGAGCACAAAGTAACATCGGTCTAAGTGCGATCTTTGAATTGCAACTTAAAGCTGTGTGGTTTAAGAAGATGCTCCATGACATCTTCAAAAGGAGCAGCTTTTTATCTGTGGCTGTCATGACTCAGCATAAAATGGCTGCCAGTCTATAATCATGACCACAGACAGATATAAAAAGCTACACCAGTAATGGCAATTGAGAGGGTGATTTCAAGTAAAACATTTACAGAATGGCTAATGTTCTTGCTTGCATCCAGTTTCAATATTGGTTTTGAAAATGGGTATTTTCCTCTATAAACAAATTCTGATTGATTCTGCCCCTTATCATCTGAGACAAAAGCGTCGGAGTACACTTACATAGAACATAAAATAAGAGTGTCTATGGTGAAACCTGGGCATTCCCTGTCTAAACTCTGATAAGAGGGCTCAAGTGATTGGTTTTAGTGGCAGCTGTGTTTGACCTCGTTCCCTAGATCATCATTGTGAAAACAAACAAAAGCCTGTAATGTTCATACATCATGGAGATCTCCACATTTTATTTTAATTATTTCCTGATTAAGAAGTACACTAAAAATTTGAAGTAATGTAACTTTTTCTGCTGCTCCTGACCTCCTAAATTGGTGGGCTTGTCAATAAGCGAGGCTACCACCAGCAGGGCGCCGTGCAGCTTGCCCAGTCGAGCAGCCCTCTGTTGTGGAACAAGCTGAAGTTCAGGCTCCTGCTCCTGGATCCCCAACCTCCAGGGAGTGATTTTCTTCTGCACTTCGGCCCAGCGGTCCTCCTTATTCTGCTCACCTGGAAGATACGACACCGTGACCACTCAATAGGAGATGAGGTAAAGTAGGTCAAGTAGTACCCCCACTGCTTCTGAGAGGTGCTACTGTACCTTTGTCTTGCTGGATCCAGTCTCCAGGCTGGAGCTGGCTCAGGTCAGGAGCAGTATTTCTCAGTGGAAAAGACAGACTGTCAGAGAAATATGACAGTTTCTCAAACTTCCAGGGTGGAATCCACTCATCATCAGCCAACTCTGACAGACTGGGAAAAGTATAGAATATAGTCTAGGAAAGCAAAAGAAAGAAAGAAAACAAATATGAGTACACTTTTACTGTATTTTAGCAGGCTTTATCTGTTGATCAGAAACTTCCTAGCACACCTCAGCACTGTAATCCCTGATAGGATGAAAGGCACCAAAGAAGAAGTGCTCCTGAATCCTCATCCAGTTCTTGTTGGCATTTCTAAATGGTGAGACAGCAAATACAAAGTCAAATACATACATTAGCATACTACAAAAAAATACAATTGTTGTAGCTGTTCTGCTCTCACCCGGTGCTCTGCATGGCCTCAGCCTGGTTCAGACAGGCCTTGATCACAGTTGACAGCCCTCCCAAACCATCTGCCCCTTCCTTTGCCCGGGCTTCTGCCAAGCTCCACACCCTCTTCAGGGCCAGTAAGGCATACAGGCGCACGCTGAAGTTATGGTTGAAGCACCACTGCAGGATGATGTCCAGCGCTTTACGCAACTGCACAGCCTTAAACACACAGGAGGAGAGAGATACTGAGAGGCGATGCAAGAGGAATGGCGTTTGAGTGGAGAAAAAACATCAAAGGGCTTTACCTCATCCGTGAGATTAGGAATGATGACATTAAAATGTACCAAGACTGACAGGAAGGTGCAGCTGCTTGTC